TTAAGTACATATATATGATCGAAGTACATATATAGAGCCTTCACCTTATATTTTGAAGAGATTGGTAGGAAGTGTTCAATGCAAAAGATCTAACAATCCTTTTGCACAAATGCGATAATTTTTTCTTCATTGAATAAGTTGTGTTCCCTCTATCACATATTCTGTTATTTAATTCTATCAAATAATATTTGTATATATATTAGTACATGCATCAAAGCTAGAGAAGGCGCAAAGCGGTAAATCATGATACTTGGATGGGATAGTGGACTAAAACATGTTTAGTTATGTACCAAGTTATTTAATAGTCACATTTAAAAATAGTAGTTATATGTTTTTGCAATGTTCGTAACTATAGGTTGCCTTTTGGAAAAGTATATTTTTTAAAACAAAAAAGAGCATCAAACTCCTCCTTCATGGCGTGGAACCAGTTTGGGTCGAGGAGAGCCGCTTTGTAAGAGGTAGGAATGGGAGAGAGAGGAGTGGATGAGGCGGTGAGATTTTAAGCGGTCAATAGGGAATAGTGTGAGCATTGGATGGAATGGGTACGGGAACAACAGTGGGAGGGAGACTGCGTGGTGGCTGGGATGTAGGAGAAGAAGGAGAGGCAGAGGCGATTTCTGGTGATGCCGGAAGAGAGGCAGTAGACGATGCATGCCAGGGAGGAGAAGAGACACGCAGAGGTGATGATATGGCGGGCCCGGGTGAATTGGGTGGTGGAGAGTGGTCGCTGGGTGGGGTAGGTGGGGAATGATTGGGAGAGAGAGAAGGCACGGAGCCCGGAGTTGATGCGCGGACATACGAGGCTGGAGTGGTGGTGGGGTCAGGTGACTGATTGGCAGGCGACATGACCACGTGAACAGGGCCATGCATGCGAGCGCCATGCACGTTGATCAGGGAAGAGCTGGCTGGAGTGGTTTTTGTGGCAGAAATAGGTGCGGAAAAATCGAGCTGAGAGTGGGAGGCGTAGGGGAAGACCGTTTCGTCAAATGTGACATGGCGAGAGAGGAGAACACGGCCGGTCTGCAGATCAAGACAGCGGCATCCCTTATGAGAGTCGGAGTAGCCAAGAAAGACACATGGCAAGGATCTAGGAGCGAGTTTGCTAGGTGTGGTGGCGCTGAGATTGGGATAGCACAGACAACCAAAAACACGGAGGCTGTCATAGGAAGGTGTGGCCAGAAATAAAGACTCATATGGGGAGAATTTAGGGGATTTGGTTGTTGGACGTATGTTGAGAAGATAGGTAGCGTGGCGGAGGGCTTCAACCCAGAATTTTGGTGGCATGGAAGCTTGAATGAGGAGGGTACGAAGGATGTCGTTGATCGTGCGAAGAGAGCGCTCTGCCTTTCCGTTTTGGGAAGAGGTGTAGGGACATGAGCAGCGGAGAAGAATACCGTGGTGAAGGAAAAATTCACGGTTGCGAGTGTTGTCGAATTCTCGTCCATTGTCACATTGCAAAAAACGAATGGGAAGAGAGAAATGAGTGTAGACATAATGCTGAAAGTTAACAAACAAACCATGCACGTCAGATTTGTTGCGAATGGGAAAGGTCCATATGTAGTGAGAATAATCATCCATGAGTACAAGATAATATTTGAAACCAGACACACCAGGGATAGGGGAAGTCCAGAGATCACAATGCAACAATTCAAAGGGAAAAGTACTACTAGTGGTAGAGGTGCCGAAAGGCAACCTAACATGTTTGCCTAGCTGACATGCTTGACACAGGGAGGAGTCGTGGGAGGCGCGATCATGCGGAAGCTGGAATTCTTGAAGAAGCTTGGATGTGGTGGTGGTGTTGGGATGACCAAAGCGACGATGCCAGAGGTTCACGGAGGCATGCATGGCTTGAGCTGGCGAGGAAGACGCGCCGTGAACCGTGTAGAGATCGCCAGAACTATTGAACCGAGCTATCACCGCCTTGCTGTGGAGATCCTTCAAAGACAACCCAAAAGGATCAAATTCGACAGAAACTTGGTTATCAATTGTGAAACGGCGTACAGAAATCAAGTTTTTGATAAGAGAAGGGGCCACGAGTACTTCACGAAGAAGAAGAGGTGACCTGGAGGAGGGAATGCTAGTGTTGCCGACACATGAAATAGGGACAGTGGAGCCGTCGCCGATGGTTATGGATGGAAACAGAATAGAAGGATGCAGAGAGGAAAGCGTACAACTAGATGCAGACATATGAGAAGATGCACCAGAGTCGAAGATCCAGTCGGTACCTGTGTCCTGTGTGGTAAGTGAATTCAGAGCGGCAATGAGAGCAGCTTGATCCCAAGCAGGCGGCGCCGATGAGGAAGTAGAGGCAGCCGGCAGGTACGGTGATGAAGATGGCTGCGCCAAGGGACCACCCACGTCCAGGTTGCGAGCGGAGGAGCGCCATAGGGGTACATGGATGATGCCGTGGGAGCTGGTGCAGATTGGTACAACGGCGCATAAGCTGTGTAGGCGTGTGGCGGCGGCCTGGAGCCGAGGAGGCCGGGGGCACCGACAGACGGGCGCACACCAGGCGCCCAAGCCCCACTGTACGCAGGAGGAGCGCCATATGGGGAAGGCGCAGTCCAGGGCATGGGCCAGGCTTGAACAAGCCCAGTCCATGGGTCCGGAGAAGGACGCCATGCCGGAGATGCTGGTGATGAAGGCGTCGATGACGGTGGTGGTGGCGCCGCGGGACCCGAAGGGGAAGGTGCAGAAGACGACGAGGAAGCCGATGCCCCGTGCTTTGGCGGATGATAAACGGGGTTCTTCCCCTTGTAGTTGGGGCTGGGACGCCATCCTGGGGGCGGCTGCGCGATGGGCGGTGTCGGTGATGGAGTCGCCGGTGGTGGAGAAGGCCGCGCCGTGGTGTGTAAGAGACGGGGAGCGGCAGTCTTGCGCGCCTGCGTCTGCTCCTCGAGCTGTAGCATAGAGCGTGCCTCAGAGAGGGTCGGTAGGGGACGCAGGAGCGGGATCAGCGACGCCTGCTGAGCGAACCGCTCATCGAGGCCGCCCATGAGCGCGTGAAGAAGAGATCGATCACCAACGGTTTCGTCGAGTTCACGGAGCTCGTCGCTGATCGCCTTGATCTGCTGGCAGAAGACGCCGACGGGGCGATCTCCCTGGGTGATCGTGTGAAGCTCGGTGTTGAGGGCGGAGATGTGCGCATCATGATTGTCCTGGAAAAGACGCCGGAGCTCCGTCCAGATGTCGCGTGCCGTGGCGCCGTCCTTGACGACGAGGTTGAACAGCTCGGTAGAGATGCACGTGTATAACAACTGGATGATGGCCAGATCGTCTTTGAGCCAGCGAGGGTTGTGCGGCTCGGGGGAGACTCATCGGAGATGTGGTGGAGCAGCGAGCAACGGCCGAGGTGGATCTCAAACAGGTGGCGCCAGTGGTAATAGTTCCTGCTATGGAGATCAAGAACAATGGGGATGAAGGGGGTCACGTCGGTGATGGTGTCGCTGAAGGAGAGAGAGGGGATGGTGAGGGTAGTAGTGGTCGCCGGGCTGGTTTGATTGCCGGCGGCGGGTTGGGAAGGATTGCCGGCGCCGGGGTTGGCCATGGCGCTGGCGTTTAGGAGAGGATCGTGGGATAGGTAACTGATACCATGAAGACTGATAGAGTACTTTCCTTAGTGACTTACAGGATACACAGCGGATTACATATAGGGGGGCGAGGCCCAACCAGAACTAGTACGTGCACGAGATCGTGCGGGAATCGTGGAGAAACTGCGGTGACCAAGTCACCTGGCTAACAGACACAATACTAGATGAAGTAGGGTTTTACCCCCACTGTAAGGGCCTATACCTGGGTAACCCGAAATCCTTGTTTCCCGTATGATCTTTCCAGCTAGTTGCAGTACTCTATGGATGGGTCTGCGAGAATCTACTCAACATCGAGGGATAGATTGTAGGATGCCTATCGACTAGCCTGGACTTGCGTATAAGGGTACTAAGGCCTAGGATTACAAGGATCCTAAGTCGGCTAAGGCAGTTGGAAACTCCTCAATACGCCCGATTTCCCTGTCTTGGACGCCAAGTCGCTAGACTCCTACCTTCTAGCAGGTCATAGGCCGGGTTGATGGCCAGGGCCGTGTAGCGACCAAGGGGGCCTCGGGCCGGCCTTCTGGGCTGATTTCAGATGTCATGAGGCACCCCCTAGACCGCAACACCAGCAATGAGAAAGTGTAATATAATCCCTTCGTCCCAAAATAAGTGTCGTGGCTTTAGTTCAAATTTGGACAAATTTGTTGTGGCTTTAGTTCAAATTTGGGATGAGGGAGTATGAAGAAAACAAATTGTGATGTGATTCCAACATAGGAACTGCAATATATCAAGTGATAATTTAGCAGAATAAGACAACACGAACGTTGGTACAAGTCTCAGTGTTAACAATCAATTCTTTGCGAACAAGTTCTGAATGCACCAAAGTTTTAAAGCTAATACTTGATGTATTGCAGTTCAAATCTAGCAGCACAAATATGGGGAAAATGCAAATACAACGGTAAATAACAAATCTAGCAGCACAAATGTGCCAGTCACCCCGCTAGTTTATTCAAAAGGAAGGAATGATTCACAATTCTCCTACTGGGCATATACCGGAACAAAGCGCATTCCAGAATCCAGGTTTTTTTGTGCATTCTTCGTCAAGCATAAGGACAATTTCCCCAGCTGTGGGTCTTTTGTTAGGTACAATCTCTGTGCATTGGACCCCTATCTTAATGCATCCCTTCACTTGTTGGATGCAGATGGCGTCCAGCGATGGGTATTTTGCTGCAATATGGGAACCTTTGAGCCAAGATTCACGCACCTATTCAGTCGGAACAAGGAACTGCATTCAGATCTATAAACTGGGACCAATGTGAGAGGGTGTAACATCGGCGAGGTATTCTTACGTTAGTAATAAAGGACACGGGGGACCCGTTGTCATTAGAGGGGCACTTTTCTCCAGTCACGATCTCCATGATTAGAACGCCCAGACTGTAAATGTCTGACTTTGTTGACATTTTAGTCAGTTCAATGTGCTCCGGTGCAAGGTATCCCCTGCGAGAAAGCAGCAACATTGATAAATAAGAATATTACACGTACCAACATATATTGCTAAAATGTGCTAAGTTAACTCGACCAACGCAGGGCAGCCTGTTGGTATCTTGTAGGGGGCAAAAGCCTAAGAAACCCCATTTCTATAACAGGTGGGACTGAATCCGGTACAGCAAGGGCACTGACAGTACACTAATACAAAACGACCACTCAGTTCTTAACAGTGAGAGCAAGATTCAACACTATGAATGCACCATACTGCGATTTAGTGGCGAAGAAGTAGAACTATTCACATGAATTTATTCGTTTTTTCTCATTTTTACGCTATATAGACAGGCCATAGTCTATATAGCGTAGGAATGTGCTCCGGTGCAAGGTATCCCCTGCGAGAAAGCAGCAACATTGATATATAGACTATGGCCTGTCTATGCCATTCCTACGTTTGACAACATTCATAGAAGTCGCTCTTTTCTGCTTCTCCATGGGCAGAGTGAATTTCGATTGCGAATGCTGGTCTATATCACTGTTTGTCAAAATTCTATGTTTATGCAACTGGGAGACTCGCATGTGTCCTTGCATGCTGTGCCACATGCTGCATGTGCATGTACGTACTCCATCTGTAATCTGAAATGATTGATTGACTACAGACGAGTGACCGTGTGCTTACCAGGATCCTACAACCTTTGTATTGTATATCTGAGTCGGGTCTGCAGCGAAGATCCTTGATAGACCGCAACACCCAACCTTTGGGAGCATGTCATTATCCAGCCATATGTTACCTGCTGTTATGCCCATGTGGACATCTTTACATTCTTCATGTAGGTACTGCAAAACCTTGCATATGTCTTGTATTATTCGGTAACGTTCTTCCCAAGGATGTTGTGTGAGAGATTGGTCTATAAGAACAATGTTACTTGATTATACTTTGAGCAAAAGTGAACAAATCATCTGGCAAAAACTCATCAGTGGATAAATAAAAAATGTTGAGAATGGTACGAGGTAGAGTTTTCTTACCACCAAAAATTTTCCTGTCCAGACTACCGTTCTGCAAAAGCTCGTAACAGAGCAACCTCTTACTCGCTGCTTCAACTGTTTCATCACAGTAACCCTTAAGTTGTAGAATATTTTTGTGCTCGAATCTCAGACCATTTACCACCAGGTTAAACTGGGTCTCTGATGGTCTCCTATGCTCTTTCAGTTTGATCACAATCATCTCTTCCCCATCCACACGTGTACCCTGTCCAGCTTATCGATTTTAAACAGGGCTTCGCCCACAAAAAGGAAAAAGGTCAAGTCCTAATTATACCTCATAAACAGCACCAAAGATACTTTCACCATGTAGTTGCTTTTCGGAAAATTTATTGGTGATGTCCTCGAACTCTTTGAACGATATCATCCTTACTTCTCTATCAGGTGGACCCTTTTTCATGACAAATGGTTAAATGGTTAGATTTAACATAAAAATAAAATAAAAAGTTGTCTTTTGGAGATAATTGACCATGAACTCAACCTCTTTTATACCATTGAACCCACGGTGGAGTGGAAATACTTTAATAATTAGAAAGAAAATTTATTTGAATGAGTTGTATACTGAATTATTTTTGATGATTTCTTTGTTTTAATCCATATTTTGCATGAAAATAAAATTAATTGTGCTACACAACGTTCAGGAGAATTAGCATGTCCAATTGTAGGCATACCAATGAGCTGGAAGATTCTGCCTCGAGAAAATGTATTATGTGCTCAATAGTTGGTCTTCGTTGAGGTAGTTCCTCTGTGCAGCGTAGCCCTATGCTTATCCAACTATCGACTTGTTGGTGAAGACTCTCTTCGAGTAATGGGTACCTAGATGCAACATATGAATTTTGATTTCTATCTTCTCGGACCTGGGAAATTGGAAGAGGCAGCTACGATTAGATTTGTATGCCCTTTAACCACGAGACACACTTAAGAGGAACTACTACACACATGAGTATAATATTACTATCTTTTGTTCATTCTTTACTCAAGTACTATAACATTGCAACCATAGCTGATATTAATAGATTTGGGGAAGACATATAGCAACATCTATTTTGGAAGTAAAGTATACTAGAATATAGAAGACTTGGGCTCCGTTGAGGTCACGAGAATTTGAAACATGGGGATAGAAAAAGATTCAAGAATAAGAGACCAATGTAGGTGGAAATGTTTGCGAATAAAAGAGGTTAAAAGTTATCTCAAGATCATCTAGTAATATGCATTTACAAACGACGACTTAAAACAAGAATAATGTCATGTATATGAGAGTGCAAGGACTAGTTGCAGTGATGTTGATAGTTGAGGGTATAGATCAAGCAATAAGAGTTAAAATAGGAATACTAGGATGCTAGGGGAACCAAATTGGAATACTCTTGCTATAAAAAGTTATATAAACATTGTTAAAATATGTGTCGATTATTAGGTGTACGAGTTGTGTTACAGTTTGACTTGTAATTAGCGGCGGGTTAGGTGTTTGAGTCAGACACGTGTAACCTGGGACTATTATATATAGTCACTATGGGTAGGCAAAATACACAAGACATATGTTGTAGGCTGAGATAGAGATCACGATATGGACATTTCGGACGCCCATGGCAGGGGTGTCCGGTCAAGCCGTGGGCGAGGGTGGTTGGTGCGCCATCTGGTGTCCTAGGAGGGCTTATTGTCGATTGTATCATGTGATTTGGCAAATGGGGAGGTGCACACCTAATCATGCCCCGGGGGTGTAGCAATGTTGGTAAACCTCGTTAACAAACTCAGTGTTGTTGCTCGTACTTGTGTGATTGTTTGTCCTCGATGGATCGATGCGCGCCTCAAATTATTCTAACAAACATGTATATCAAATTGGTGGTAGCAACATTATGAAGATCATCTTACCTTGTCAACATAACACTGGCCTGAGTATCCGATGTAAGGGGGACTCCTCCCTGTTATAACCTCTAATATAAGAACTCCCAAACTGTATATATCTGCCTTGGGTGTAATTTCGCGGCGGCCTATGGTTTCTGGCGCCATGTATCCACTGTATGATAACATTTTTATAGGTTAGTGCAGAATGAAAACATCAAGAATGAAAAAATTCCTAGAGAGGGACATTGGTAATTGAAGAGAAATGTTTTGGAGATTATGTTTCTCTCTAAATTAGGCCACAGCCATACTGATCAGTATTTAATACTATGTTTGTTGGGTTTTTTATATAGATTAGAAGCACCAAGGAATATTATTTTGCACAAAGGTCTTAACTTTTTCAAAAAAAAAGTAA